AAAAAACACACCATTCACGGGCGACAACTTCTATGTAGAGAAAGAAGAAGAACAAAAATGATGAATTAACTGCTTGATGTGAAAGAAATTTGGATGTAAATACAAGAGGTAGTCATAATTTGATTTGGTTGATTGTTTAATTGATATGATTGTGTGTATATGAACATGCATTACCAACAATGACATTAATGATGTGTGCATTGATGAGAATGCAAAATGTCATATTTAACCCCCTTAATGTCTAGTCTTTTATACTTATTTGCTGCCTATATGTACTCATATTATTCTATTTTGATTTAGGATGCAAATGGAGGCGTTAATTGCAAAACGGAACTAATTAAGTGAATTTGGACAGTTTCGACATTGTTTCATAATCTGGGCATAACTCTCTCATCCAAGCTCTGATTGAGATGATTCGAAATTCTGTGGAGCACTGAGAAATATATCTACAACTTTCATGTTTTGAGTTTGGAGAGATACTCACTGCATCAAGGTTGTAATCGGGCTTGAAGTTGACACACCTGCACTACCGACGTTCTAGAACATTCTGCCTTGTCATGCAAGTCCAATTATTGGAAGATTTGAAGACATGTGGCATGCAAGTTACAGCTGGACACAAAACTTTCCTATTTTGTATTAAGATTTTATTTTATTTTCAATTACTCAGAATTAGGATAAGGTTATTTTGGGATTTTAGAATATTTTTAGGAGATTTAGATTTAGTAGAATTTGAATTCGAATTGGATATGAAGAGAGGGAGATCATATTAGGTTTTGAGACACACAGACCATGCTTCCTTTTCGGCTCTTTGCAATTTTTCTCTTGGAATTTTCGTGATGGCCATGAGCGGCTAATTTGTAACTTGGTCGAAGGAAACAGAGGCCTCGGAATCAATAAACTGTGGGATATAATCCGTTTTATTTCATTGTTCAATTCATGTTTGAGTATTGGATGTTCTTCTGTGCCTAATTTTATGATTGTTTCGTTTAATTGCTAGGAGGCCTACTAGGTTATTAATTTTTGCAATCTACTGCTAAGTTAGATATCAAATCCGTAATTGTTTGATTCCTCTAACTTGTGAACCAATTAGGTTAATAATTTGCTGCGTCAGGAATTAGTAATGTTAAGAAGAACACTCGACTAAATTAAATACAACCGCTTGAGTTTATGTTGTTTAGCTTTTTCGATTTCTCTAATTCTTAAGGCTGCCACTAGATTAAATCTTTAGCGCTTGTCTAGGGTTGTTTAGTGGTAAGATTAATTAAGATCACTTGTTTCTTAATTAATTACAATTAAGGAGAGATAGGAAAATAGTTCCAACGGGGAATATTCAAAGTAAGAATTGATTTACCATTGCATCAATGATCAGTTGTAAGATTCCAACGATGGATGTTGACGGAGACCAAGTTTCATTATTTTGATTGATTTAGATTTGAATTGCTTTTGTTTTTCCTGAGATTATTTTTGTTTTACTAAAACCCCCCTTAGCCTTGTTCACATAACATAAAATACGGCTAGACACTCTTCGTGGGAACGATCCATACTCACACTACTACGTCTATTTTTTTAGGGTTTTAATTCTAGGTGCCTACGACAGCACGCCAGATTTTGGCGCCGTTGCCGGGGAGTGATTCTAGTTGAATTTTTTTTTTTTTTGGTTATATTCTGTTAGATTCTGTTTTTATTATAAATTTTTTTTAAAATTTTTCAGAAAAATTCAGTAGTACCGTTCATGAATAGTATACTGTTCAGTACTATTCCTAAGGAAAATTTTGGTTGAATTAGGAGCTGTGCAAGTAGCTGTTTCGAAGAAAACAAAATTCTGAACAAGACTAGAATAATTTCTAGCGCCACCCTCTCGAGACCAAATTCGAATGTTTTGCTAGCGTTTTTGTGCTTCTAGACATAAAAAAAAAAATTATTTTTTATTTTTCATTTTTTTTATTTTCTGGTTGGTTTTCATTATTTGTCATTTATTCCTTTCATAAGATTCTGTGTCTTATGACCAGGTCCTCTCATTTTGGTGATTTAACATTCGACCCAGAAATTGAGAGCACTTTGCGCAGGTTAAGGAAGGAAGTTCGGAGAAATTCTGAGGAAAGCAATTCTGATTTAGGAAAGGAGGATGTCATGGCTGGAAATCGAACTTTGAAAGAGCTTGCTGCCCCTGATTTGAATCAAGCACCTTTATGCATAACATTTCCTGTTTTAGATACTGCTACTACTTTTGAATTGAAATCTAGACTAATACATCTTTTGCCCACTTTTCATGGCCTTGCAGGTGAAGATCCTCACAAGAAGAGCTTCATGCGGTTTGCACGAGTATGAAACCTAGGGGGGTAACCGAGGAGCAAATTAAATTAAGAGCCTTTTCGTTTTCTTTGAAGGATGGAGCTAAGGATTGGCTCTATTATTTACCCTCTGAAACTATAACCACATGGAACAAGATGAAGAGATTATTTCTGGAGAAATATTTCCCAGCTTCGAGGGCGGCCAACATTCGGAAAGAAATTTGTGGTGTAAGGGAGCACAATGAAGAGTCCTTACATGAATACTGGGAACGTTTTAAGAAATTGTGTGCAAGCTGCCCCTATCATCATATTAGTGAGTAGCTACTTATCTAGTATTTCTATGAGGGCCTTACATACACTGATAGGAGCATGATTGATGTTGCAAGTGGAGGAGCTTTGGTGAATAAGACTCTTGAGGCCGTGAGAAACTTGATTGCAAATATGGCTGCCAATTCTCAACAATTTGGCAGTAGGCTTGACCTTCCATCTAGGCGTGATAATGAGGTAAATATTTCTTCCCTTGAACAACAAATCTCGAGTCTAACTTCTCTTGTTCGTCAAATGGCTGTAGGTAACATGCAAACAGTGAAGGCTTGTGGAATTTGTTCGGTAGTAAGGCATCCGACTGATATGTGCCTAACTCTTCAAGAGGAGCCTGTTGAGAAAGTGAATGCAGCAGGTGGTTTTCCTGGACAACTGCAAATGAAGTATGATCCTTATTTGAGCACATATAACCCTGGATGGAGGTATCCCCCAAATCTTGGCTATGGGAATCAAGAAGTGAATCAGTCCCACCCTCAAAACCACCCAAATTACTAGCAGTATAAGCAGCCATACCCCCTTAGACAACAATCGGACCAAACTGCTAATTTTGGTATTCTTTAGAAGATATTGTTAAGTCTCTTGCTACTAATACTTTGCAATTTCAACAGGAGACGAGGGCCAGTGTTCAAAGTTTGGAGAATCAAATAGGGTAGATGGCAACTGCAATCAGTAAGCTGGAGGCGCAAAGTTTGGGAAAATTACCCTCTCAAACGGTGGACAATCCAAGAGAAAATGCAAGTGTGATCGTCTTGAGAAGTGGTACAGAGGTTGAGATTCCAACGAAGGCAGCCCTTGCATCGTTGAAGGAAGAGAAGGAGAAAGATGTCATTGTAGACAGAAACGTTCCCAACGACGATGGTGTTCCTAAGAGTAAGTTTCCGCCTCTGTCCAATTATAAACCGGTACCACCTTTTCCTCAAGCTTTGGTAGAATCTAGAAAAGATGAGCAGAACAGAGATATATATGAGACTTTTCGTAGATGCAAAGTAAATATTCCACTTTTAGATGCTATTAAACAAGTACTCATTATGCTAAATTCTTGAAAGAGTTGTGTACTATTAAGAGGAAACATAAACTTAAGGGGTGTGAAAAGGTGAGAGTAGGAGAGAATGTTTCTGCAGTAATTCAGAGAAAACTTCCAACGAAGTGCAAAGATCCAGGTATGCTTACTATCCCTTGTACAATAGGTAACACTAGGTTTGAGAAGGCCATGATAGACTTAGGAGCTTCTATAAATGTCATGCCATATTCCATATATGCTTCTTTGAAACTTGGACCTTTGAATAAAATTGGTGTTGTAATTCAATTAGCTGATAGATCTAATGCCTATCTTGAGGGTGTAGTTGATGATATTCTGGTATAAGTTAATGACTTAGTTTTCCCCACTGATTTTTATGTGCTTGATATGGAGAAAGGTGATCAAACTACTCCTATTTTGTTAGGAAGACCTTTCTTAAAAACATCCAAGACTAAGATAGATGTTCATAGTGGCATACTTACCATGGAATTTGATGGTGAAATTGTCAAGTTTAATATTTATGATGCCATGAAATATCCTCCTGATGATGATGATGATGATAATCATGCTTATTCTATTGATGTGATTGATTCTTTAGCATATGAGGTTTTTGAACTTGACGGAGAAGATGGATTGGAAGTTGCCATTAGTAATCATCTTGAGAAAGAGAATGAGGAGTTTGCCTTGAGTACTGATTTGCAGGAAACTGTTGCAGCATTGAATGATTTTCCAAAGTTACAACAGTCAGGTAACGTTTCCTATGGCATTACCAATTTCTAACGAGAGGGCTTTACCTTCTGTTTTGTAGGCTCCCATTCCATATTTGAAACCTCTCCCTAGTTACCTCAAGTACGTGTTCCTTAGAGACAAAGGAACGTTACCAGTGATAATCTCCAGCAAACTTAGTGCATCTCAGGAAGAGAAGCTTCTGCAGGTCCTTAAAGAGCATAAGACGATTATTAGTTGGAAAATTGCAAATATTAAAGGAATTAGCCCGTCTACATGCATGCATCGTATCTTGCTTGAAGAAGGAGCAAAACCTTTCTGTCAACCGCAAAGAAGATTGAACCCACCCATGATGGATGTTGTGAAGCAGGAGATTCTGAAACTTCTTGAAGTTGGAGTGATTTATCCTATTTCAGATAGCAATTGGGCCAGCCCTGTTCAAGTGGTTCCTAAGAAGACCAGAATAACTGTTGTGAAAAATCAAGATAATGAGTTAGTTCCTACCCGTGTTCAAAATGGGTGGTGGGTTTGTATAGATTATAGAAAATTAAATGCTGTAACCCACAAGGACCACTTTCCTTTACCTTTTATTGATCAAATGCTTGAAAGGTTAGCTGGTCATTCTTACTATTGTTTCCTTGATGGTTATTCAAGTTATTTTCAGATTGCGATTGCTCCGGAGGATCAAGAGAAGACGACTTTTACATGCCCATTCGGAACTTTTACATATCGCCGCATGCCCTTTGGCGTTTGCAACGCCCCAACCACTTTCCAGAGGTGTATGTTTAGTATATTTTCAGATTATGTTGAGCATATCATAGAAGTTTTTATGGACGATTTCACAGTTTATGGAAACTCTTTTGATAATTGTTTGCATAACCTTACACTTGTTCTTCAAAGATGCATAGAAACTAACCTTGTGTTAAATTCTGAAAAATGTCATTTTATGGTTGACCAAGGTCTAGTTTTGGGTCATGTTGTTTCATCTAGGGGAGTTGAGGTAGATAAAGCCAAATTTGACATTATTCAATCTTTACCTTACCCCACTAGTGTGCGGGAAGTTCGTTCTTTTCTTAGATATGCAGGTTTTTATCAAAGATTCATTAAGGACTTCTCGAAAATAGCATTACCCCTATGTAAGTTGATGCAAAAGGATGTGGTTTTTAAGCTCAATGAGGCATGTAAAGTGGTGTTTGACAAGCTGAAGGAACTACTGACTTCTACCCCAATTATCCAGCCCCCTGACTGGAACGTTCCTTTCGAGATAATGTGCGACGCAAGTGATTATGTAGTAGGCACTGTTTTGGGTCAAAGGATTGGAAAAGCATCTCATGCCATTTATTATGCTTCCAGGATTCTGAATGATGCCCAAAGAAATTATTCCACCACTGAGAAAGAACTTTTAGCTATTGTTTTTGCTTTAGAAAAGTTTCGATCTTATTTGCTTGGTACTAAAATCATTGTTTTTTCTGATCATGCAGCTTTGCGTTATTTGATGATGAAGATAGAGGTAAAACCAAGACTAATAAGGTGGATACTACTCTTGAGTGAATTATATTTGGAGATCAAAGACAAAAGAGGGACAGAAAATAGTGTCGCAGATCATTTGAGCGTCTAGCTCATGTGGAGGATGAACTTCATTTACAAGACGAGCAATTGTTCTCCACGAGTGTGACATTACCTTGGTATGCAAATCTTGTAAATTATTTGGTTTCTAACATCTTTCCTCCTGGTTTGTCTAGGGCTGAAAGAGATAAGATGAAGAATGATGCCAAATGCTATGTGTGGGATGACCCCTACTTATGGAAGCATTGTGCAGATCAATAATAAGGTGCATTCATGAAAATGAAATTATTTCCATTCTCAGCTTTTGTCATTCTTATGCATGTGGAGGTCACTTTGGAGCTTAGAGGACAACAAGGAAAGTGCTAGAATGTGGTTTTTATTGGCCATCTTTAATTCGAGATTCATACTCTTTTTGCAAGTCATGCGATAATTGTCAAAGGGCAGGTAATATATCCCAAAAGAATGAGATGCCACAAACCCCCATACTATTTTGCAAAATTTTTGATGTTTGGGGCATCGATTTCATGGGACCGTTCCTTGTATCTTTTGGTTATGTTTATATTTTTCTTGCTATTGATTATGTCTCGAAATGGGTGGAAGCTAAAGCCACTAGGACTGATGATTCTAAAGTTGCTGTAGATTTTATCAAGTCTATCATATTCTGTAGGTTTGGAATTCCAAGAGCTCCAATAAGTGATCAAGGCACTCACTTTTGCAATCGAACTGTGAAGGCTTTGCTGAAAAAGTATCATGTGACCCACAAGGTGTCTACTGCCTATCATCCACAAACTAGTGGACAAGCAGAAGTGTCAAATCAAGAGATCAAGTCCATCATTGAGAAGACGGTCAATCCAAGTAGAAAAAACTGGAGTTTGCGTTTGGATGATGCCTTGTGGGCATATAGGACTGCATATAAGATGCCCATTGTTATGTCACCTTTTTGTTTGGTGTTTGGGAAAGCATGCCATCTTCCAATTGAGTTAGAACACAGGGCTTATTAGGCAATCAAGAATTTTAACATGAAGATGGATGAAAGTGGAGAACACAGGAAGTTGCAACTACAAGAGTTAGAGGAAATTCGCAATGATGCCTATGAGAATGCAAGGATTTACAAGGAAAAGACGAAGGCTTTTCATGACAGGATGATCTCTAGGAAGGAGTTCAAAGTTGGTCAAAAAGTCCTTCTATACAATTCACGACTTCGTTTGTTTCCGGGTAAGTTGCGTTCTCGTTGGATTGGACCTTTTGTTGTTACTAATGTTTTTCCTCATGGTGCAGTTGAAATTCAAAGTTTAGCAACTTCCAAAGTGTTCAAGGTGAATGGCCATAGACTTAAGACTTTCTATGAAGGTCTCCAAGAAGAAAATGTGGCAGGATTGGACCTTGAGGATCCGACTTATTCAGATTGAAGAAGACAGCCTTGAGTCAAGCCAACGACAATAAACAAAGGCGCTGCTTGGGAGGCAACCCAAGGGGAGTTTGTTTTCTTATTCTCGCATTTTAAATTTTGGTTATTTTTGCCTTTTCTTTGCATTTCATCTTACATTGGGGACAATGTCAGTTTTAAGTGTGGGGGAGGCGATTTAGGTTGTGTTTCAATTCATGTTTGAAAAAAAAAAAAATAGTTTTTGTTTTTAGGAAGGTTTATGCTTTAACTCATGTCTTTGAACGTCTAGTGATGATGCATGAAATAGTGACTTGACTTTGTTATTGAGCATATTCTGTGACTTAGGATGTTAGCAATATTTCATAAAATAGAGTTAATCAGATTTGAATCTTTGAAGTTTGAAACAATATATCTTGAGAAGTGTGAACTTGGTGACGAAGCATGATTGAGGAGTGTATAACAATCCTTAGAAAAAAAATTGTTTCTCTTAAGCCAGTCCCAAATTTGGGTTTAAGCAAATAGGAAAAAGAAAAGAAAGGTATGTGGTGAGTCGAGATGGAGCGTAAAACGCACTCGCTCATAAACACAACCATGAAATGAGATGGAGCATAAAATGCACTCATTCTTTTTCAAAACAGAAAAAAAAAAAAGAAGAAAAAAATAATGATAAATAATATCCCTAGTTTGCTACCCAGTTTGCAGTAGTAAAGAGAAACAGTTAAGGAAAAGTTGAGAGGAGAGTTCTACATGAATTGGTTGTGATTAGTTTCCTTTTTTGCATTGACCGATTGAGAGTAATTGTGGAAAATGATGAAGAGAAATGAATGTCATTAACTCTGCTTTATTTTATTTTTCTACTTCCTAAGTTAGGTAAGAATATGCATGGATTAAATTTTGTTTCTTATGCATCATGCTGATGTTCTTGATATGACTTGAGATGACGGTGTTCTGGATATGACTTGAGTGTAGTGTTTGTTTGAATTAGTTTGCCCGAGGACGCACAAAAGCTAAGTGTGGGGGAATTTGATGAGAATGCAAAATGTCATATTTAACCCCCTTAATGTCTAGTCTTTTATACTTATTTGCTGCCTAAATGTACTCATTATTATTCTATTTTGATTTAGGATGCAAATGGAGGCGTTAATTACAAAACGGAACTAATTAAGTGAATTCGGATAGTTTCGACATCGTTTGATAATCTAGGAATAACTCTCTCATCCGAGCTCCGATTGAGATGATTCTAAATGGTGTGGAACACTGAGAAATAGATCTACAACGTTTGTGTTTTGCGTTTTGAGAGATACTCAATGCATCAAGGTTGTAATCGGGCTTGAAGTTGACGCACCTGCACTGCCGACGTTCTGAAACATTCTGCCTTGTCATGCAAGTCCAATTATTGGAAGATTTGAAGACATGTGGCACGCAAGTTACAGCTGGACACACAACTTTCGTAATTTGTATTAAGATTTTATTTTATTTTCAATTACTCAGAATTAGGATAAGGTTATTTTGGGATTTTAGAATATTTTTAGGAGATTTAGATTTAGTAGAATTTGAATTCGAATTGGATATGAAGAGAGGGAGATCAGATTAGGTTTTGAGACACACAGACCATGCTTCTCTTTTCGTCTCTTTGCAATTTTTCTCTTTGGAATTTTCGTGATGGCCATGAGCGGCTAATTTGTAACTTGGTCGAAGGAAACGGAGGCCTCGGAATCAATAAACTGTGAGATCTAATCTGTTTTATTTCATTGTTCAATTCATGTTTGAGTATTGGATGTTCTTCTATGCCCAATTTTATGATTGTTTCATTTAATTGCTAGGAGGCCTACTAGGTTATTAATTTTTGCAATCTACTGCTAAGTTAGATATCAAATCCGTAATTGTTTGATTCCTCTAACTTGTGAAGCAATTAGGGTTAATGATTTGCTGCATCAGGAATTAGTAATCTTAAGAAGACACTTGACTAAATTAAATACAACCGCTTGAGTTTGTGTTGTTTAGCTTCATCGATTTCTCTAATTCTTAAGGCTGCCACTAGATTAAATCTTTAGCGCTTGTCTTTGGTTGTTTAGTGGTATGATTAATTAAGATTTCTTGTTTCCTAATTAATTACAATTAAGGAGAGATAGGAAAATAGTTCCAACGGTGAATATTCAAAGTAAGAATTGATTTACCTTTGCATCAATGATCAGTTGTAAGATTCTGACGGTGGATGTTGTCAGAGACCAAGTTTCGTTATTTTGATTGATTTAGATTTGAATTGCTTTTGTTTTTCCTAAGATTATTTCTGTTTTACTAAAACCCTCCTCAGCCTTGTTCACATAACATAAAATACAACTAGACACTCTTCGTGAGAACAATCCCTACTCACACTATTACATGTATTTTTTTAGGGTTTTAATTATGGGTGCCTACAACAACACGCCATGTATCTATTGCTTGTAATATTTCATACAACAATTAAAGCCTTTAAGTATATGTTGTGAGTATTTATACTATTTGAAGACACCTTATTTTTAATTTTCTAGCAATCCATTATATGTTCAATCTTTGTTGTGTTAATTGAAAGTTAAAATTCTGTAGCTTTTGTATTTTAATATATTTGGGGTTTGTCACAAGCATTTCACACAACATGTTTGATGAAATGCTTGTGAGGATATCTTTTGAGTTTAATTGAACAATTGTTGCTATTATACTACTAACATGGTCTGGTGTTGACATTTTCACCCAATATCAATGAACTTAGAGTCGAAAAATTGGAGTAGTTGTTGAAAATTTTCTAGCTGATGCTAATATGAGGTAGTAATATCGGGTAACTTAGATTCTAACCTCTATGATATCACTTTGCCACTGAAATTGATGATTCTAAAAGTCTTCATCTACAACTGCTAAATCAACAAAACATAGAGGCCTTAGTTGTTTAAAATATATTGATATCATATTTTATCTGTAAAGTTGGCTGGAATTTGTTTAGAATTTTTTGGTGCACTAAGGGAATAAAATTTCAGCCATGTCATTGTCATCATCCAGCAAATGTTCAAGTTCATCTCTCACCTACAAGTTACCAAGGTAATAATATTAGATATATATTAATAGGATTAAGAAAGGCATACTAAATTGTTGTTATTTCTTGTGTGACAAGTAGATAAAGATTAAAAATAGACAATGTCAACATCTTGCTCTAAGTCTTCTTCACAATCTAGTAGAGGTAGGATTGATATAACATGGGCACATGTTATTGAGGGTGTAGATCCAAATAGAAGGAAGACATTAAAATGTCTTCACTGTGGGAAAGTAACTAGAGGAGGAGGTATTTTTAGAATGAAACAACATCTAGTTGGAACAAAGGGGGATGTTGGTGCTTGTTTAAAAGTTCCTTTCGATATTCAATACTTGATGAGAGAATCACTAAAAGATATTGGGATAAAGAATAAAGAGAAGGCTGATTCTAGCAAGTATAATACTCCCTACGATGCTCCAGTACATGGATTTGAGGGAGATATGTTGAATGAAGATAGCGAAGAGTTTCGTCCATCAGAAATTCACATAAATGAAGGTAGGTTTGGCAGTCAAAAATAAAATACAATGCTAGACAAATCAAAAAGAAAAAAAATCTATTGGGGTTGGTGACTATTTTGCTCCAAGGACAATTGGTGGATCTCAACCATCAATTAGGAGTTGTTTATCTGGAAAAGATGCGATATGGAGAGCAGACATGGCTTTTGCAAGATTCTTTACAATGCTTGCATCCTAATTAATGCTATAAGTTCAATTTATCTTCAGCCTTTGGTGGATACTATAGCTACAATTGGGCCTGGGTATAAACACCCAAATTATCATGGTTTGCGTGTCAATTTGTTAACAGATGCTAAGAAGGAAGTGCAGCTTCTTGTTGATAGTTACAGAAAGATTTGGGAAAATGTTGGATGTACCTTAATGGTTGTTGGTTGGACTGATAATTCACATAGGTCATTGATCAATTTTATGGTGTATTGTCCTAAGGGAGTTTGTTTTGTGAAATCAGTTGATGCTTCAGATGTTGTGAAGGATGCTGGGACATTGTTGAAGATGTTTGAGGAGGTATCTTTATGGATTGGACCAAATAGTATTGTCCATTTTGTCTCAGACAATGGATCAAATTATAAAGCTGCTAGAAGAATGTTGTTTGAGAAATATCTGAGTATTACTTGGTCACCCTGTGTAGCACATTGCATAAATTTGGTGTTAAAAGACATAGCTAAGATTGATCACATAGTTTATCTTGCGAGACGTGCTTCTGAGGTGACGAAGTTTGTGTATAATCATACATTCTTGATAGCTTGGTTGAGGAAAAGACAAGTAATATACCTTTAGCTCATGTTCTTGTTAAGTCATAACATAATATGCATTTTTTATAATTGACTAACACCTATTATTTATCAATTGAACAGGGTTGGAAAGAAATTGTCCATCTGGGCACAACCCGTTTTGCTACAACTTTCATTGCAATGAGAAGCCTTCATGAGCACAAACATGACTTGCAAGCCATGGTGATAGATAAGTCATTTGTCGATTCTCGATGTGCAAAAAGGAATAAAGGCAAACATGTTATTGACATAATTCTAGATAACG